CTGGGTGTGGTGGCTCACACCTGTAATCCCAGCACTTTGGGAGGCTGAGGTGGGAGGGTCACAGGTCAGGAGATGGAGATTATCCTGGCCGACATGGTGAAACCCCACCTCTACTAAAAATGCAAGAATTAGCTGGCTTGGTGGCGGACACCTGTAATCCCTGCTATTTGGGAAGCCGAGGCAGGAGAATTGCTCGAACCCGGGAGGCGGAGGTTGTAGTGAGCCGAGATCGCACCATTGTACTCCAGCCTGGGGGACAATAGTGAGACTCCATCTCCAAAAAAAAAAAAAAAAGGAGAAGGAAAAATCCCTCAAAATCCCTGGATGGTCTGGTGGGAACACGAGCCATGGTCCTGGGTTGAAGACACACTCAGACACTGTCCTGTCTGTGAACTCCTTCTCACCAAAGGACTGGAGCTTATGCCTGGAAGCCTGGATGGAAAATGACCTTCCCAAAGAATATCGGAAGAATGATTCACTGCTGTGCCCACGTCACACCAGAAGCGTTTGAGAATCATCTATCCCCTGAGGGGTTGGCAGGAAAAAGGGCTCCCAGACATAACCACTGGGACTGTTGCTCCAGGCTTTGAATTTGGGGGAGGACTACTTGAATCTGAGAGGTCGAGGCTTCAATGAGCCGTGCTCACACCACGACACTCCAGCTTGGGTGACAGAGTGAGACCCTGTCTCAAAACCAAACACAAAACACGTTAAGATGAGAGCTGTGCATGTGGGCCGCTTCTCCCGCTTACTTTCTTCGCATCCATCTTTCCCAGAAATCATCTCTGATTCTCACAGAAGTGCTCTTGGCAGCCCCTGGGCAGGACCCACCAGCGCCTTCAGCTAGAGCACAGTTAGCGTCAGATTATGGATGGTGATTAGTGGATGTGACGTCATTCTCTGGAGTATCCCAAGGTGCTTCATTGTGATAAGCCTGCTTGACAGCAGCTCACCCGGTGAGTGTTCGTATTATTTGCACTCTCCAGTCTGCTGACCAAGGCTGCCCTCTGGCTCACCATCATCTAGGACCCCCACACAGGCAGGGAAGGGAAAAGGGAGTAGGGGGCGGACAGGGATAAATAAGGTGTGGCAGAGCCATGAGATGGTTGTGAGCAGCCATTTCAACTCATGTTTTTGGCTACTGTTTGATTACATAAGGAAAAGTTTATGAAATCATTTTAATTATCACATACATCCAGTCAAATGACGGGAGGGAACATATCGTGTTAACCATGATTATCTCTGAGTGCTGCAATGAATAGTGATACGGCTTTTTCATGCCCCTCTTTATATTCTCATCTGTTTTACAACAATATCTTTCTTACAAGAGAGTAAATGCAGGCTAGCCATGGTGGCTCATGCCTGAAATCGCAGCACTTTTGGAGGCCAAGGAAGGAGGATTGCTTGAGGCCAGGAGTTCAAGACTGTGGTTAGCTATGATGAGACTGCATTCAACTTGGGCAATAGAGCAAGACCCAATCTCAAAAACAAACAAATAAACAAACAAAAAGAATAAATGTAAAGATAATGTCTAATTGAATGTGACCTTGGGAGTCAGACAGACCTGGTTTAAATACCAGCCCTATGATGCACTAACGGATGAACCTAACTTTCTTCATCTATGAAATGGGCCTGATCATATGCACTTTTCTGGGCTGAATAGGCTTAAAGGGGATCATCACACCGAGTTTCTAGTTCATGCTGTTGGCTGTTTCTTACACGGTAGGTGTTTTCCCTTTGATGGAAGGGTCCAGCCTGGCACTCTGGGGGTGCGATGGGGCTGATTCACCTCCAGTCCCTCTCTACTGAGGCCGGTTGCATTGGTAGCTGATTGCTGATTGAAATCAGAACTTGTGAAACCCCTGGGTTGCTTGCTTCCTCGTCGGTTCCACTTGAGGAAGCAGTTTCGGGAGGCGCCAGGCACAGTGTTTCCTACCCATAATCCCCATATTTTAGGAGCCCAAGGTGGGAGGATCACTTGAGCTCAGGAGTTTGACACCAGCCTGAGCAACAGAGGGAGACTCTCAATCTCTACAATAAATAAATAAATAAATAAATAAATAAATAAATAAATAAATAAAAGATTATCCAAGCCTGGTGGCATGCGCCTATAGTCCCAGCTACTCGGGAAGCTCAGGCAGGAGGATTGCTTGAGCCTGGGATGTCGAGGCTACAGTGAGCTGTGATCACACCAAAGCACTCCAGCCTGAGTGACAGAGTGAGATCTTACTTCAAAATAAATAAATACATAAAATTGCAGGAGGAAGGCTGTCAGGGCAGAACCATGAGAGCTGTGCATGTGGCCACTTCTCTCACTTGCTCTCCTCTTGCCCATCTTCCCCAGAAATCATCTCTGATTCTCACAGAATAGAAGTGTACTGACCAGGCGCAGTGGCTCACCTGAGGTTGGGGGTTCGAGACCAGCTTGACCAACATGGAGAAACCCCCATCTCTACTAAAAATACAAAATTAGCTGGGCGTAGTGGTGCATGCCTGTAATCCCAGCTATTCGGGAGGCTGAGGCAGGAGAATCGCTTGAACCTGGGAGGCGGAGGTTGCAGTGAGCTGAGATCACACCACTGCACTCCAGCCTGGGCAACAGGAGAGAAACTCCATCTCAAAAAAAAAGTGTCCTGTGCACTTCCTGAGGAATAAAGGCATCTTTTCTTCCTTTAAGTAACAGTTTTATTGAGATTTAATTAACATACCATAAATCCACCCATTTTCATCACCTCACAAGAAACCCCTTCCCCATTAGCAGTCACTACCCACAGCCTTCACACCCAGGCCTACCCTATCACGAATCTACTTTCTGCCTCTACAGATTGGCCTATTCTGGACATTTTTTTTTTCTGAGACAGGGTCTCACTCCATCATCGCCCAGGCTGGAGTGCAGTGGCGTGATCTTGGCTCACTGCAACCTCCACCTCCTAGGCTCAAGCAATTCTTGTGCCTCAGTCAACGAAGTAGCTGGGATTACAGGCACGTGCCACTACGCTTGGCTAATTTTTCGTAGAGACGGGGTTTCGCCATGTTGGCCAGGCTGGTCTCGAACTCCTGGCCTCAAGTGATCTGCCCACCTTGGCCTCCCAAAGTGGTGGGATTACAGGCATGAGCCACTGCACCCTGGCCCAACATTTTATATTTAAACGAATCATTAGCAGTTCCTTATGTCTGGTTTCTTTCACTTAGTATAATGTTTTCAAGATTAATCCATGTTATAGCATGTGTCAGTACTTTTTGTGATTGCCAACTAATATCCCAAATATGGTACATTTCCTTTTTCAGTTCACCAACTAATGATGGCCATTAGGCGTCATTTTTTGGCTTTAATGCATCATCTATAATGCTAGCTGTGATCTGTTCAACCTACCACATGCCAAGCACTCGACCTAATTTGTAATCCTTACGACAGCCCAGAGAGGCACGTGTGTTTCTCCCACCATACTGACAAAGAAGTGGTCCATCCAAAGTCGTGGAGCTGACAAAGTAAGTGACAGAGCTGAGATTTTTGAAAAGGTTTTTTCCACTGCACTACGCGGCACTTCCCCCACCCCCGTGTGTTTTTCTGGCTCCCTCTAATTGGTTCTGAGGCCAAAACAAGAATCCACTCATTCAACGATCATTCATTCAACAAGAATTAGCTGGCACCATGTGGATGGTAAGCACAGATTAATTAGAGCCAGGCAAAACCAGACCTTGCCTCCTGGAGTTTGCTGCCCAGGCAAGGGGTGGGGAGGGTCATGATTCGGAGGCAAATGCCAGGCACCAGGAAGGGTGTGACCAAGTGCCAGGGACTCAGACATGCTGGAAAGCCTGAGTAATGATTTTTGGAGAAGATGACATTTTGAGCAGGATCCCAGCAGACCAGATGGATTTCACAAGCCGAGACAGGGTGAGCCACCCACGCAGAGGAACTGGTGCACGCACAGACCAGGGACAGGGATGGTTTCTGCCCTGCTGTTGGTAGGAGGTAAAGGGGGGCAGGGGAGAGGTTGACATCACACTAGTGACAGCCTTGAATGCCAGGCTAGCGTCTGGGTTTTTGTCCTATGGGCAGTGGGGAGCTGCTGAAAGTTTTTGAGCAGGGTAACAAGATCGAACCCATTCATTAGATTTGGACACTGCTCATAGACACTAAAAGTCTGGTGTCCTGGGCCCCTGGAAATTACACCCCAATGCCCACAGGAAGAAGGAAGAGTTGCACTTCGAACCCTTCTGCACCTCCATAGCCCCAGCACCCAGAACAGGGCCTGAACGTGTGGCAGGTGTTCAACAAACATTTGTTGAATGAATGAATGAATTGATGAACCTGCTTGCCAGCCCCCTGCCTTCCGCCCCCATCCCCCACCTCCCACCTTTCTTTCCTAATCCCTCTCCTAGCAAGGTGGGAATGAGAGAGCTGGTGTGCCCGATTCTCCCATCCCACCCACCTGCCATGTCTCCTGCACCCTAACCTTCTCCCTCCTTGCCCCCGTTCTCCCTGAGGGTCATGAGTAATCACAGGAGCAAACCCTCATGTGCTCCCACCACGTGTTAGGCAGTTGCAATGACTTTACACTCTCATAATCGCCATCAGGTATAGAAATCATTAATTGTACTTTGCAGGTGGAGAAATTGTGACTCACAGTGGTTAAGGGACTTGCCCAGCTGCTGAGGGGCTGAGCTGAGACTCAAACTAGGACTCTCTGATTCCATCCAGTGCTTCTAGCTGGGAGTGTGGAGTAGGCGGTAGGGGTTCTGCTTAAGGTTAAGGGTGTGGAGGGGAAGGGGAAGAGGAAGCAGAGAGGTTCCCAGGGGAGGAAGTCTCTGGCCCCATGTTCCAGGACCAGTGGGGTGAATCCTAGTTGGGGTTCCTGCCCTACTTCTGGGTCCAGCTGCCACACTAGGATGTGTAGCCAGATTCTCCACCCTCCTCTCATGCCAGGGTAGGGCCTCCTCATAAACACACACACACCCACACAGCCCAGCCCCAAAGCCTAGAGAGAGGGAAACAGTAATTGCCTTAGACACAGAAGCTTTATTTTTCTATAAAATTATTCCCCAGAGAAACTTTCTTTTAAATGCCCAAAGTATATTCCTTCTTCAAGAGGAAAACATCCCCAAAGATGGTCTGTCAGAAATCCTTTGGTCAAGCAGGTCAGCTGGCTCCCATGACCCTTAGGATAGCCTGACTCCGTCACTGTCCCTAAAACCTTCTAGGACATCTGCTCCAGGAAGAACTTTCAACTCCAAAATTCATCTCATCTTACAGATGGGAAAAGTGATTCTCAGACCAGACCAGGGTCAGGCCAAGGTCATCCAGCATCAGTGGCTGGGCTGAGACTGAGCCCAGGGAACCCTGCCTGCTCCTCTTTTTTCCCAGTGCTCTCTGTGAGTTCTCTAACCAAGGCAGCGCTCTTGACGGAGAGCTAGGAGGGAGAGATAGGAAGTATAGCTGAGGCCGTGACCACTCCACTCTTCACCTAAAAAATGTAACCAGTGGCAGAGGATCCAGGCACACCTAGGCTTTGGGGCCAAACAGGCCTAAAGAAGTAGGTGACACACTTCCTCCCTGCTGTCACCTCCCCTGGAATCAAGGGTCTGCCAAGCTAAGTGCAAAGGGACACCGGTTTTGAAATAAAGGAGAAGTTCCACATGCCTTTGCTTTGGGTCTGTGTGATCTCAATCTGCTTGGCAACTGAGTGCTGCTCAGAAGTCGTTGTTAACAGTTAAATATGTCTTTGTTTCTTTTTTCTTTTCTTTTTTTTTTTTTTTTTTTTTTGCCGGGACAGGCAAAGTCATTTGGGACACGCGGTCCTCAAAGGTGGAGAAAGATGAACAAAACCATCCTCAGGGCTGAGAAGCCAGGGCTTCTGTGCTATGCAATTGCAGAGGGACTTTCTTTCCGAGCGCGGCATTCCCCATATACCAGAAAGGGGTGGACGAATGTCAGAAGAATGGCAAGAAGGAGCATCACGTTTACCTGCAGAGAGAACAGGAGTGAGGGGAAATCCAGGAATTCTGAACAACAGAATTGTTGCTCAATTAAGCAAGCACAGGTCCATTTCATGGCCAATGAACGGACCAGAATTCTACCGAGTTTATATTCACTTTTCACTCAAACACTATGGTGCCCTGGAGGAAGCACTTTCAATTACTTTTTATTCTGAACTATGGGGTGGGGTGGGAGATAATAAGCCAATTTCACAGGTGAAGAAACAGGCCTAGTGAGCATTCAGTGACATGCTCGAGGTCACATGGGAAGCTGGTGGAGGCACCAGCTAGAATACAGATTTGCTTATTAGGTCACCTGATGTCACAAGCAAGTCATTCGCCTCAGACTTCAAGTTTAGTCTTTTGGCCATACACAGTGGTTCACGGCTGTAATCACAGCACTTTGGAAGGCAGAGGCGATCACTGGAGGCCAGGACTTCAAAGCCAGCCTGGGCAATGTAGCAAGACCCCAGTGTCTATCAAAAAAAATAATAATAATAATAATTAGCTGGGAGTGGTGACACATGCCTGTAGTGCTACCCATCTTAGCTAAGATGAAAGGATCACTTGAGCCCAGGAGATCGAGGCTGCAGTGAGCCGAGATTGTGGCACTGCACTCCAGCCTGCGTGACGGAGAAAAGACCCTGTCTTCCAAAACAAAAACAAAAAACATTTAGTCTTTCTTTTCTCCAAGTGATGAATTTTAAACTCTAATTTGACAACCTGCTGCTTTAAAAAATGAGGCAAATAGAGCTGTGCAGTGGTCAAAACACTGAATTCAATGTTGAAAGACTTTTGCTCCCTTGCTGGTGCCTCTGAACACATTAAGTCATGTAACCTCCGTGGGCCTCAGTTTTTGCAAAGAACAGGAGAGTCATGCCCACCTCCCAGGGCAGGGCCCCAGAGCATCCCTCCAGATGAAAGGACACAGAGGTGAAAGCACAGAGCTCCTGTCCCTGGGGCCAACTGTGGAAATCCCAGCATGGATCTAGGGGAGAAGCCAGGGTGCACCTGCACTCACCATAAGCAGGAAACACCTTTGAAGTCTCAAGTTTTTGAATTTTTGCGAGAATTTCCCACCCTACTCCAGAATGTCTATTTCCCCACACACAAAAATATTTTTGCCCCAAATATTTAAATAACACAGACTCTCTGGGAAGCTGGGCCATGCTACATATCCAGGCCATCACAGCCAGGTTTGGGGTGGCCCTTGCTGAGTCCCTCAAGCCTGGATGTCCTGGGGGGCAGGGGTCTAAGGCCAAGGCCCCCTGCCAGGGATGCCCATCCCCCAGAACTCACGTAGAAAGGGTCATTCTGAAGGGGCCCTTTGATGAGGGTGAAGATCGGGAACTGGAGCAGAGACACCACAGCTGACAAGGCCATCACTAGACCGAAGAGCTTGCCAAAGTGCTGCGACGGGAAACTGGGGAGAGAAACCAGCGGGGTTCCATTGAGCTTCAGGGACCCTCCCTCCAAGCAGACACCTGGCCTCCGGGGGCTCTGTTGGCCACTTGTCCCCACTTCCCTTGTCTTAGACCTGCCCTCCACCCATGCGTGCCTGGCCTTGCCCTCTTCACTCAGACGTTCGACCCACAGAACCCAGAGAAGGCACATACGGGACCCTGCGCAAACAGAGAGGACTCTCATGCAGGCTGCACCAGGGAGGAAAAGACAGACACGTAAATGGATGACATGCCAGACAATGCACTAGCACAGGAAGCAAGACTAGAGTACTAAGGACACAAGGAAGGGAATGTGTTTCCATCTCTGCCCTGGAGAGCTAGAACAGAAGTAAGCCTTGGAGGATGAATCAGAGTTCACCAGGTAGAGAACAGAGGCAGAGGGCGCCACAGATATAAAGCCTCAAGCACATGAATCTTCTAGCCTTCCCATCACCTCTGGTCTCACCCCCTCCACACCTGCCCCCAAACCCAGCCTTCTGCACCTGACCGCCTCCAGGCACAGCCTCACATCCCTATTTCTTTACCTCCAGCTTCTCTTTGCCCCAGTGTGTCCCCCTCCACAGAGCCCACCCCAAGGCCACTTACGCAACGGTGAGGAAGGCCGCGTTGCTCCCGTAGAGGAAGGAGCGGCTGATCACTTGCAGGATGAAGGTGAGGTACTGGAGGGGGAGGACGGGGACTGACGCACAGAGGGCAAAGCCCAGGGACAGCAGGGACGTCAGGGCCAGTGAAGGTACCGTCGAGCAGAGGGCCACCACCCAGGTGGAGGAACCTGGGCCAAGAGGGAGGAAAAAGAGGCTGTCTGGAGACCAACCCAGCAGAGGGCAGGGCAGGGCCAAGGACGATCGGAAAAAGGGGAGGAGCCACTATCCATCCAGCTGTCCCAGCAGAAACCTGGGAGTCATTCTTGAATCCTTTCTCTACATGCCCCACCTCAAATACATCAATAAAGCTGATCATTCACTATATATCATTCAGAGGTATATATCACTATATACCTCTCCAACTCCACTAACTCATCCTAGCTTTAAACCACCATTAACTCAGTCATGGATTATTGCAATGATAGGCTCCATATCTGCCCCTCCCCACCCTGAGCCTGCAGCCAGATCCTCCTTGTGACGCTACTGGTAATAGCAAAAGGCTGGAAACAATCCAAATAGCCATCAATACGGGAATGCTGCAGCAGCTACGCTGCAGCCACATAACGGAGACCCAGGCAATGGTTAAAAGGCATGAGGAGAGGTCCCGGCTACAGAGCCCCCTCAGGATAGAGTTATACCAAAAACACCCCTGCAGAATAGTGTGTACCGTATACTGCCTTTTATCTAAAAGAGAGGGAAATGTATTGATAGGGTTTGGTTGTGTCCTCACCAAAATCTCAACTTGAGCTCTATCTCCCAGAATTCCCACATGTTGTGGGAGGGACCCGGGGGAGGTAACTGAATCATGGGGGCCGGTCTTTCCCATGCTATTCTCATGAGAGTGAATAAGTCTCACGAGATCTGATGGGCTTATCGAGGGTTTTCGCTTTTGCTGCTTCCTCATTTTCTCTTGCCGCCGCCATGTAAGAAGTGCCTTTCACCTCCCACCATGATTCTGAGGCCTCCCCAGTAAACGTCTTTTTCTTCCCAGTCTCAGATATTTCTTTATCAGCAGCATGAAGACAGACTGATACATGTATATACCCCCATACAATGTTTATATTTAAAAAAATTAAAATGGCTACCTAAAGAAGAGGAAAAGCGGTACAAGAAACAGAGAGGGAAACTAAACTTTTTTGAATATTATCTCGTTTCACAGTTTTAGCTTTGGGAAAATGTAAATGTTGGAACATTACAAGTGTAAAACATTTATAAATGTTTTACAAATAAAATTAAATAATAATAGGAAGAAAACAAGCAAAACAATCTTTAAAAATCAGAAACAGGAAAAAATGAAACCAACAAACATAACTCTATACCAAGTGGGTGACCCTTAAAATACAGTAATTTGGCCCAGTGTGGTGGCTCACACCTACAATCCCAACACTTTCAGAGGCCAGGGCAAGAGGATTGCTTGAGTCCAGGAGTTAGACACCAGCCTGGACAACACAGACCCTTCCTCTAAAAAAAAAAATTGTTTTAAATTAGCCAGACATGGTAGTGCATGCCTGCAGTCCATAGTAATTGGGAGGCTGAAGGGGGAGGATCACTTGAGCCCAGGAGGTTGAGGCTGCAGCGAGCCGTGGTCATACCACGGTACTCTAGCCTGGGCAACACAGTAAAACCTCATCCCGAAAAATAAAAAAGAAAATATGGGAATTTGCTTGTACATCTCTCATGGGATATATCCTAAGGATGAGAAAGGAAGGAGGAAGGACAGAAGGAAGAAAAGAAAGAAGTGGCAAGAGTATTGAGCAAGTATTGTTATCAAGTAACATCAATATTGATAAAACCAGTAATTATATTTAAAATACCACATGTGTATCTACATTTAAATATGCATATGTATATAGTATTGTTAGGAACCAAGATTATCAGAGGAAGAGAAAGGGCTACAAATATAAAATCAAGGAAATAAAAATTTGAATAAAAATATCAGTAGTAAGCATTTACGGTATTTTTCTTATAAAAAATTACATACATGCTAATCCTACCCAAAACCCAAAAGCAATGACAACCCAGGAGCAATAAGAAACCCCAGCATCCAGACTGTAGTCTCTAAATACCATTTCCAACTGAAGAAACTCAGAGCTAGTTGGGAAAAAAATGACTATTTCAGGTCTAGGGTAGGAAACATACCTAGTGAAATGGACCTGAACATTTCTTTGTTCTAGAAGGTAAGTTCACTGTCTAAAAATAATGTGATTTCATCTAAAAGACACAGATTCTGGGTTGGTAAAGTTTTCAATGGTCAAAGGTGAGACAATTTGAGTATCAAGAAGAACAATGACAGAACAGATTGAAACACGTCAAATATATTTAAACATAAAATTTTATAAAAGAAACAGTAGCCATCCCTGGAGCTCTCTAGGATACCAACTCATTATTTTGAACTGGATAAACCTGTAAACCAAGCATTTATTTCTAAGTAACAAAATAGTAAGAAATGTTTTTCTTTCTAGAAGAATTCTAGCAATTGAAAGAGGAAGACAGAAATAGAAAATCATCCTTTCAGCCAGGCGTGGTGTCTCACGCCTGTAATCCCAGCACTGTAGGAGGCCTAGGCGGGTGGATCACCTGAGGTCAGGAGTTCAAGACTAGCCTGGCCAACATGGCAAAACCCCATCTCTACTAAAAATACAAAAATTAGCCAGGCCTGGTTGTGGGCGCCTGTAATTTGAGCTACTCAGGAGGCTGAGGCAGGAGAATCGCTTGAACCTGAGAGGTGGAGGTTGCAGTGAGCTGAGATTGCACCACTGCACTCCAGCCTGGGCAACAGAGTAAGGCTCCGTCTCCAAAAAAAAGAAAAGAAAAGAAAAGAAAATCATCCTTTTGCAATCCTAATAAAATAATGGGCCTAGGCATTGATCATTAATGGCTACTAAAATCACTAAGTATATGGTTGATGGGAAACTTTATAGTTGATGGATCAGACTGGCAATGTCTAAACCAGTTGATCAATCTTAACATCATAACAAGGCAACAGACACCAGAGGCTGCTGATGGGCGACCAGAGGAAACCCACAGCTCCACCTCTGAGTTATTCATGACAAACAAACAAACAAACAAACAAAAAAAAAAAAACCACTTAAACTGTGTCTCCCCTAAGCCTTTAATCCCACTGTTTACAGGAAATACCCAAGGAAAGGAATACTTTTTAAATGACACATCAAAACAACACCAAATCCAAAATAAGGGAAAATCATCCAGTGTCTTCAAGAAAAAAAACAAGAAAAGGTAGGGGAAGAACTGTTCTAGATTTTAAAAGCTACAGACGACGCATCGACCAAATACATTGCATGCACCAGGCATGGATCCTAATTTGAACAAACCAACTGTAAAAAGATGTATCTGTAATGACTGGAGGAATTTGAATAGTGACTGCACAGTAGATGACATTAAGAAATTACTGTTATTTTTTTAGGTGTGATAATGATTTTTAGGGTGATGTTTAAGTAAAAGAGGCCTTATTTGTTAGAGATACATTTACGGGTATAGAAATACATTTATGGGTAAAATGATATGATGTCTGAGATTTGCTTTGAAAACTCCAGCAGATGTGGGAGAAGCAGGTTCATGGGGTCGGGGAAGGGACAGATGAAATAAGGAGGCAAAATGTTAGTCTACTTTGGTACCTCCTGACCCAGCAGGTTAAAATACCTCAGCATCCCTCTACTCCTCCAACCATGTCCGAGGATCAGGCCAAAACTCTCTGATGTGGTAAACAGCTTGACCCCTTCTCATATACATATCTCTCTCCAGCCTCTTCCCTAAGACTCCCCAGTGCTCTGTGCCCTGGCCAGCCTGACTCACCTGCCTAGATTCCTCAATGTTTCACTCTCTCGTGCACTATTTTGACCCCACTCTCCAAGGCCTCACCTCTTCATCTCCTCCCATCTTACTCATCCTTCAGGTCTTGGCTTAGATGCCACCTCCTCCAGGAAGCCTTCCCTGACACCAACCCCATCCTCACCCAGAACAGATTATGTGACCTTCTTTGTGTCCCCATGGCCCCCTGTGGGTTTGCTTCATGGATTGTAACTGCCTACCTGCCTTTCTCCACCCTCCAGACTGAGAACACCTTCAGAAAAAGAACACACCTGTCTTGTCTGTTGCTGAATCCCCGGTGTTTAGCACCATGGCTGACACACAACTGTCACTCAGTGACTAATGTTTTAATGAATGAATGAATGAGTGTAACGAGACAAGGTTAAGAACAAAAGAGAAGACCGGGCATGGTGCTTCACACCTGTAATCCCGGCACTTTCGGGAGGCTGAGGCAGGCAGATCACCTGAGGTCAGGAGTTTGAAACCACCCTGGCCAACATAGTAAAACCCCATCTCTACTAAAAATACAAAATTTAGTTGGGGATGGTGGCACATGCCTGTAATCCCAGCTACTCGGGAGGCTGAGGCAGGAGAATCTCTTGAACCCTGGAGACGGAGGCTGCAAGGATCTGAGATCACACCACTGCACTCCAGCCTGTGCAACAGAGTAAGACTCTGTCTCAAAAAAAAAAAAGAAAAAAAGAAAGAAAGAAAGAAAGAGACCATGTCATGGGGCAAATGAAGACCTCCCTTGCTGGTTCCCTGATTCCCGTCTCACCTGTCTCTCTTGCTTCCTTCTGGTACTTCTGTTTAAGCCGGTCCATGAGCACGCCATTCCAGGGGGCAACCAGCACTCCGAACTGGGTGAAGGCGAAGGCATTTGTGTAGCTGCTGACTGCAGAGGGCAGAGAGGTTGGTTGATGAGAAGTTTCCAAAACTCCCTTTCAGGCAGGGACTCTCCCACCGTGTCCTAGCCCTGCACGTCCCTCCTCCCCACATCATCAGGCCCTCTTCTGCTGTGCACAACCCTGCTGGGAGGTTCTATGTTTCCAGCTGGGACGTGCAGACAGGCTACCGCCACATACCTAATTCCTTGTCCCCCTGGGCCATGTTGGTCAGCAAGGAGTTGAGAGTGCCAATGAAGAGGTAGTGCCACAGCTGTATCACAGACAGCCACACCAGGTGCCAGGCAAAGCGCAGAGAGAAAGCATAGCTCCAGAAGGAGCGGGCTTCCTGCTGCAGCCCTGCTCCTGGGGTCTCTAATGGGGAGAGGAGGATCTGGGTGTGAATTACAAGGAAAGTGGACAGGCAGGATCGGGAGTGTGGAGGCCTCAGTGGAACCGTTTCAGGTCCAGGCTCACCTTCTACCCTTGGCTCCCGGAACTCACCCAGCGTGCTCTGCGCCTGCCTGGGACTCATACATCCCCACCTCCCTGCTTTGTCATGCTGGCCCTACCACCTTGGATGACCCTCTGTGTTCTTCTCTGTCTATTGAAATCTGATCTGTCTCTCACAGCCTGGTCAATGACACTTCTTGCAGTAATACCTTCCTGATCTTTCTCAGCCAGAAAGGTGAAAGAAACGACAAGGAGAGGAGAAAGTCAGAAGGGAGAGGAGGATGAGTGTGGACACTCCTGTTCTAACCTGCTCCTCAGCACCTCCCTTTCTTTTGGTACCAGTATCCTGAGTTTCCCTGGGAAATCTTCCTCTACCCTAATCTTCACGGTCCAAATGGGACGATGAATTCAGTGTCCTGTTCCTCTATCAAGGTTAACCAATGAGACAGTTCCTCCTAACAAGGCAGACTGGCCGTGAGTTCAGATTAGGATGAACCTGATCTAAAATAGGTCTAGACCTGGCAAGCTCAATTTCCTCCCTTGACTTTGGAAGCTTCCCAGAACCCTATTCTTCTTTCTTTAAAATAAATAAATAAGGCTGGGTGCAGTGGCTCACGCCCATAATCCCAGCATTTTGGGAGGCCTCGGCGGGTAGATCACAAGGTCAAGAGTTCAAGATCAGCCTGGCAAAGATGGTGAAACCCTGTGTCTACTAAAAATACAAAAAAATATTAGCCAGGGGTGGTGGGGCACCTGTAATCCCAGCTACTAGGAAGGCTGAGGCACAGAATTGCTTGAACCTGGGAGGTGGAGGTTGCAGTGATCTGAAATCATGCCACAGTACTCCAGCCTGAGTGACAAAGCGAGACTCCGTCTCAAATAAATAAATAAATATTTTGGATCCAATTATCAGACGGTAAAAATAAAAACAAAAAAATCAATTTTATTGTGTATATTTAAGATATTCAATATGATGTCACAGGATACATATAGCTACAGAGATGGCTAATATAGCGAAGCAAATCGTCTTACATTTGTTTTGTGGCAAAAGCAGTTAAAATCTCCTGTTTAGCAAAGTCCCAAACACAACGCGATTTGATTACCTACAGCCTTCAAGCTGTGCATTAGACCTTTTCATCTCCAGACCTTGTCATCCTGCTCCTCTGCTCCCTGTGTCCTTTGACCCACACCTCCCATCTCCTCTCCCACCCCATTCTTATTTCCACTGTGGCCAGTTGCGGTTTGTGTAACCAAAGATGCAGAACAGAGAGGAAGGAAAGGAGGCAGTGATGGAGTTGGGACAATAAGAGAGGGCAGACCCAAGAGACCTGGAGAAATGGGGACATTGCACCAGACTTAGTACAATGGCATCAGGGAAGAGGGCAGAACCGGGGAGTGGGGGGAAGGGAAGGCAGGCTTCAGGGGGTGGGAATGTGACGGGGACATGAAAGAGAGAAAAGACAGACAGAAAAGAGACAAAAGCCCTGCCCCTCTCTGGACCCTCCATGAAGTGAGGGGGTTGGGAAGACACCTAAGTTTCTTTCTCTGCCCTACATTTCTTTTTTCTTTTTTTTTTTCATGATCTGTGGTTTTCTTTTTAATTATCTTAAGTTTTACGATCACACATCACTACGTTTCTTGATTCCCAGTCCCTGAGGGAATTCTGGAGATGAGGAGCCAGGAAAGGCACAAGGAGAGGCTCGGGGGTCTGGAGGAGCAATGGGTTAGCCAGCAGGGCTCACCTTCCTTGGCTGAAAGGAACTCCTTTGACTGTAGCTCCCTGTTTTCCTGCTCAGCTGCTTCCTTCTCTTCCTTCGTGGGGCCATTCCCAGAGCACAGGCTAGGGAAACAGAAGCCCCACCAGCAGGGCCAAGGACTGTGAGCTGAACCTGAGACTCGGATTGGAGGGAAGAGCATGGGGAATCCCACATTTCACTGCACTTTGGAATCACCTTTTAGCCACCCTGATGCCCAGGCTGCAGACCAGACCAGTTAAATCAGATGTCTGGAGGTGAGAGCCAGGCTTCCTTTTCTAAGCTCTCTATGTGAATCTAGTGATTCTAATAGGCAGCCAATTTGGGAAGCACAGGAAGCATGAAAAGATCTGGGCAGGCCCGGGGTTCAAATCCCGCTCTGCCTCTTCCTAGCAGCAGAAAGATGGCTCAGACTTAACCTGTCCGAACCTCATTTTTCTCATTTGGAAAACAGAGATAAGGCTATCTGAGAGGAGTATTGTGAGGATGGAATCAGAGAGCACATGGGGACTGACAAACAGTAAGTGAACAGCAAAGGAATACCCTCCCCCTACTGCTTACAGCAACTGACTGCAAAAATGATCACATTTCTTCACCTCCTCTGTATTTCCCCCCTTTGAACGAGACTTTGCAGCTCTGTTTCCCCATGCCCTGAATCTGGGCCAGCCTTGTGAACTGCTTCAGCCAAAAGAATGCAGCAGAAGTGGTTGTACCAATTCCAAGCCCAAACCTCAAGAACACTTGTGCATTTCTGCGCTCTTTCAGAACTCTGAAATCAGCATGAATGAGCCCACGCTGGCTTGCTGGAGGATGACAGCCATGTGACCCAGGCATCCCTGTCACTCCAAACCCACGTGAGTGAGGCCATCCTAGCAAAGCCAGCCCCCAAGTCACCCTCCAAATGATCAGATGCGTGAATGAGCCCCCATCAAAATCATCTACATCTGGCCCTGATCAGTAGAACTAGCCAGCTACCCACAGACTTGTAAAAAATAACAAATGCTTAACGTTTTAGGCTGCTGCGTTTTGAGATCATTTGTTACACAGCAATAGCTAACAGATACACTGCTCCCATCCTCCTCCTCTCCGGTGACAGGTTTGCTTTGCCCTGTCCATCCCACCCTAGGGCCAATGAGGGGCCCTGGCCCACAGTCATCAGAGAGTCCTTACCCATAGCTGTAGTCGTGGGGCAGTGGGTATGGGATGTGGCCCCGGGGCATCAGAAGGAAAGTTCGTGCTACATGCCAGGTACTGCAGACAGAGAGGAAGATGAAGGAGGCCCTGAGGCTGGTGCCCGTTTCATAAAGAAGCTGCAGAAGGAGGAGGAAAAAGTCAGGGTCACATTCATGTACACGGCAGTACTATTCACAATAGCCAAAGGATGGAAGCAACCTGAGGGTCTGTCAGCATATGAACAGCTCAACATAATGTGATCTCTACCCACAATGGAATATTATTCAGCCTTAAAAAATGAAGGAGGCCAGCATGCTGGCTCACATCTATCATCCCGGCACTTTGGGAGGGAGGAGGATCACTTGAGTCCAGTCCAAGACCAGGATCACTTGAGGATCACTTGAGTCCAGTTCAAGACCAGGATCACTTGAGTCCAGTTCAATGAAGCATGACCTTGTCTCAAAACAAAAATGGGAAAGAAATTCAGACACATGCTACATAGATGAACCTTAAGACCACCAAATGGGGCCGAGCGAAGTGGCTCGTGCCTGTAATTCGAGCACTTTAGAAGACCAAGACAGGAGGACTGCTTGAGTCTAGGAGCTTGAGACCAGCCTGGGAAACAGCAAGACCTCGTCTCTACTAAAAATAAACCAGCTGAGCATGGTGGTGCATGCCTGTGATCCCAGCTACTCAGGAGGCTGAGGTGAGAGGATAGCTTGAGCCCAGGAGTTTAAAGCTGCAGTGATCCATGATCAGGCCATTGCACTCAGCTTGAGCAATTCTACAAGACCTTGTTTAAAAAAAAAAAAGGAACATTATGCTAAGAGAAATAAAAGGATACATTCTGTATGATGCCATTCATAGGAGCTACCAGTGTAGTCAGATTCATAGAGAAAAAAAAATCAGAGTGGTGCTAGCCAGAGGCTGGAGGGGTAGGGAAGGGGACGGAAGGAAAAATGGGAAGTTAGTGTTTAATGGTACAGATCCAATTTTAGAAGATAAAAAAGTGTTCTGGAGATGCACGGTGGTGATGATTGTACAGCAACGTGCATGTACTTAAGGCCACTGAACTGCACACCTAACTGTGGGCAAGGCAGGGCGTGGTGGCTCATGCCTGTAATTCCAGCACTTTGGGAGGCTAAGGCAGGTGGATCACTTGAGGCCAGGAGTTCCAGATAAGCCTGGTCAATGTAGTGAAACCTCATCTCTTATAAAAATACAAACGTTAGCTGGGCATGTTGGCACGCACCTATAACCCCAGCTACTTGGGTGGTTGAGGCAGGAGAATCACTTAAACCCGGGAGAAGGAGGTGGCAGGGAGCCAAGATCGTGCCACTGCACTCCAGCTTGGGCAACAGAGTGAGACTCTGTCTCGAAAAAAACAAAATACAAAACGTTAAGATGGTAAATTTTATGTTATGATTATTTTATCACACACAAAAACATCGGCATAAGACATCAGAGGCAGGGGCTGGAACTCTGCTTTCTAAGGAGTCCTAGTACAAGCTGCCGCCTACCGTCCTGGAAGCTGATTAGGGACACCTGGTACACACATGCCCCCACCCCAAGACACACCTGGGAGTGGAAGAGTCCTCGTATGACCCATCCCTACAGCCTGTGAAGCCGCCTCATGTGGCTCCCCAGAGATCTTCTAGCCCACTGCCTTTTCCCCCAATAACAGCAAAGGCCTTTCGTTCAAAGAAAATTCTACACAAAAATTCAACTTAGAAAACACAACAGAAAGCTTGCCAGTCCCCTCCGTCCACATTCTCCTTGGTAATTGGCATGGCATCAAAGAGAATCCCTAAGTTCCTCAATACTCCGTTAGAAAACCACTGACCTTGCGCAACCTCCTACCATTTTACAGAGAGCAACACTGAGGTCCAGAGAGGTGCAGTGAGTTGCTCAATGAATTGTCAGAGTAAGCAGCAGCAAAATCAGATTAAACTAAGAATTCCCACTCCTGCTTCCTCTCCCCTTCCAACTCTAGAGAGAGAGGAGAGAAGCTGGGCATGGCGGCTCATGCCTGTAATTTCAGCACTTCGGGAAGCCAAGGAAGGCAGATTATTTGAGGTCAAAAGTTTAAGACCAGCCTGGCCAACATGGAGAAACCCCATCTCTGCTGAAAATACAAAAATTAGCCAAGCATGGTGGCACACCTATAGTCCCAGGTACTTGGGAGGCTGAGGCAGGAGAATTGCTTGAACCCAGGAGGTTGCAGTGAGCCAAGATCACACCAATGCACTCCAGCCTGGGCAACACAGTGAGACTCCATCTCAAAAAAAAAAAAAAAAAAAAAAAGGCTGGGCACAGTGGCTCACACCTGTAATCCCAGCCCTTTGGGAGGCTGAGTCAGGCAAATTGCAAGGTCAAGAGATCGAGAGCATCCTGGCCAACATGGTGAAATCCCATCTCTACTAAAAATACCAAAAATTAGCCGGGCACGGTGGCATGTGTCTGTAGTCCCAGCTACTTGGGAGGCTGAAGCAGGAGAAATCGCTTGAACCTGGGAGGCGGAGGTTGTACCACTGTACTCCAGTCTGACAACAGAGCGAGACTCCATCTCAAAAAAAAAGAGAGAGGAGAGAAAGGGAGGAACACCCAGGGGCGGGAGGGAAAGCCTGGAAAGTGGCTCCTATGCTGGGAGTGGAAGGCTTGAGTGCGCCAGCAGCTCAGTCTCTGCATGACCCTCCAAACCAAGGTGTTTATGGGACTCAGCTAGACCCACGTAGGGCAGGGACTGCCAGCTAGACCCACGTAGGGTAGGGACTGCCAGAGATCGTCTTCTCTGCCCCCATAACCCACAGGCAGTGCCGACTGCCTCCGGCCTAACACTAAGCCCTGAGAAAAGTCCCAGGTTGGGTGGCTTGAGATTCAGACTCTTCCATTCCTTTCACTTAGCCGTTTGTAGAACAAGCTTGTTGTTCTCCAGCTTGTTGCCTCATAATTGAAGCATGGTTGCCATAGCTCCAGCTATCATCACATCCTCCCACCGCAACATTCAAGGAGGAAGGCTTTGTTTTTACTCTGCTTTCACCTTCCATCAGGGAAGGCATGTCCCCTTGGGTCTTCTACTATATACACCCCCTTTATCTCACTTAAAAAGGACTTGATCATAAGCCCACCTCCATCCACCATTAGCAAGGTGTAAAGGGATTGCTGCGGTTGGCTTTGATCAATCAGGATTCATCCCCTGGGCTAAGCAGGTCACTGCCCAGATAAAACTGCCCGCAATGAATAAGGTAGAATGGTTGCTGATTGACCTCTAATAGCCTTGGCAACCATTCATCCTCTGATATCCCAACATCAGACACAGCTGAACAAGCCTCTGTGTGTGCCCCTGCTGTGCCTGCTGGCCACTTGCTACCTTCTTTTCCAAACTAGAAGCTCACAGCAGCAAACACCTGCCTCTAAAGGGCTCCCAGCCTCTGCCCAACACCGGCCCAAGCATATCATGACCACTGCCACAAGAGCTTGGGCAAGGTTGAAGAAGGGGCTTAGTGGTTACAAGCTCTGGCTCTAGAAGCAACAGGCCTGGGTTCAAGTTCAAGTATCATGGTTATTAGCTGCAGAACCTTCAACAAGCTTCTTAACCTCTGAGACTCAAATGCTTCGTCTGCAAAATGGGGGCAACATAGTACCTACCTCACCGAGTTGATGGACAGAAATAGTGCAAGGTTCACAAGACAAGCGTCTGGCATATACAAGGGCTCAATGGACGTTGGCTATTGCTGTATTTACCTTAATAATAAGGAAGACTGCTGAGGAAGAGTCAAATGCTCCATTGTAGAGAGTGATGATGGTCGAACGGTGTTGGCCAAATAGGTTCCCAATCTGGGGATGGTAGGATCATCCTGAATCACGTATTTATTCATGAAACAGACACTTCCTGAGCACATGGTAGGGTCTTCCAGCACGTGACAGGCCCTCCTTATACCCAAACCCACCCTCCACCCCTAGAGCTCCCACCTCAGCTTGGGCCAGCCCCATCTGAGGCAGCCAATTGTAGAAAAGGGTCTCTCCTTCCCTCTACCTTCTCCTCCACCTCCCCTCCACCTCCCAACCACCCTCCCTCCACCCCCCCTCCAACCCCCTCCACCTCCCTCCACCTTCCCTCCACCTCCCCTCCACCCTCCCTCCACCTTCCCTCCACCCTGCCAAGTGCCCGGGATTAGGGTAGGTTCCCACCTGCAGGTTGGTGATGAGAAACAGAATTCCCCCAACGGAGAGCAGTGGCATGGCCAGGAAGAGCAGCACAGCTGAGCCTGACCCATCAAAATCAGAGGTAGGGTGGTACCACAGGGCAACCCAAACATGGAGCCCCAAACTCTGCTCCCACCTGCTCCAAATTCCCAACAATCCCTGGTGTCCAGGCCCCAGTTCTAGCCAGCCTTCAAGCATCCTTCAAGGGGTTTTTAGGATACTGGCCTAGGCTTCCCCAGATATCTCTGTGGACGTGTCGTTAGTCACCTTCTTCCCCACCAAAGTTGGTGCTCAATCTGTGGCAGGCCAGGAAGTCTACAGAGGCAGAGCTCTAAGTGAAGCTGCCTGTCTCTTCCCTCAGTAAACCACAAGCTACCTCTCCTTTTCATTCTTGACACTCCAGGAGAACAGAACCCTGGACTTAGGCACCTAGCTTAACCCTCAAGCCCAGCCCCCAATTCATGGCATTGGCCTTGAGCCTCAGTCATCTTATCTGTTAAATGGGAACAACAGTCCCTCCTCTTTCTGCCTCAGGTGCTACAAGAACTGAGTAGGAAAAGGACAATGGTCTTTTCTTTGTTCACTAAACTCAACACTTTCTTGGTGCCAGGCATTGTGCCTGGCACTGGAAACGCAAGATGAATAAAAGATACTCCTTGCCCTTAAGCAGACTGACATGCAAACAAATGGTTATAACAGTTCCAGTAAGTGTGAGATGACAGCAGGAAAGCTTAAGAACTGGGGTAGGGGAACCCTTGACAAATGAGTCCTCCCCACGCCAGACTTCTGCCCGCCACTATTTTGGCCCTAACCCATGCCCGTCCTATTATTCGCTAAAATGTTTTAAGTTGACTCACTTTTATCCAAAAGAAATCTATTTTTAAAGGACACTTTCTATCACTACTGTAGATGAAAACACGGGCATTGCTTGTCATGAATAGAAAGTAACTATAAAAATAAATACAATGAAAGGAAAACAATGCTATTCAACTGTAGCTAGACGCAGTTGCCCTTAGAACGTTCAAAGCCTGAGACCTGCTCTTCTCCTCAGTGTTAAAAATCACACCGGCCCCACATCAAGACATTCTTTCATGAAATCAGAAGGACTGAAAGAGAAATCAAAAGGGAATAGCTGTTCTGCCAGGTGATTTGATGTTTATTAGTGTAGCTGCTGTAGTGTGTGTGTCCCTAACATCCTCTTAAGTACAATGCTATCCCTTAAGAAACACTACCAAGAGCTAATTTTAGAGTATTCACACCATTTACCATTCAATTTCTGTCCTTATGAAATGTACATCTCTTCTATTGCTAAAGGCGGGAGACTCTCCTTTCACAATAGAGTTCTTGTGGCCTCAGTGCTTTTTCCAAAACCAAAAAGCTCTGTTATGAAGGAAGAGGAGGATTGCTGCTCAGACGATTTGCAAGAGAGTGACACACATTACCCAGCCACCACCTCCACATTCGGGCGCTTGAAAATCATTTACAGGCTTTTAGAGGAGATGATGCTGGTTTGATAAGGAGAGTGGTTTGAAATAATTGGTTTGAGGTGCCGGGCCATCTCACGAGATCTGTGTGGACCAAGACGTTCAGCCTCCATGTTCGCCCAGCGTGAGTGCAGACGGCCTCATGACGCTGTCGGGATTCAGCGCAGCTTATACACACTAACGTACCCTTCTTTCCTAAACCCAAAACTGAGCTGCGAGTGTGACACGAGGGAGGAACATTAGGAGGCATCTCGGGGCCAGCATAACCAAGGCAATGAGAGAAAGCAGAGTCAGGAGTCAGGAGGCCCACCTCCCTCTCACTTCCTCTGTGGCCGTGGGCGTATCTTTGCAAGGGGTCCCTCTGTGGTCTCAGTTTCTCCTCTGTGTAATGGGTGGAAGGGCAGTGGAGAATAAGCCAGATTGGAATCCCAGACTTATAGACTGGTAAAATTTGAAAACAAAGATTTTGAGTACAACAAAGTTGTCAGCTTTTACCCTGCTAAGGATATTTTCAAAATGGTCAATCATATAATCATTTCATTAAAAAGAGAAAGAGAATATTTTAACACATACAAGAAGGATGTAAAGGTTTGTTGTTCTTGCTGTTTAGGTTTTTTTTTTTTTGAGACAGAATCTCACTTTGTCACCCAGGCGGGAGTACAGTGGCGTGATCTTGGCTCACCACAACCTCCGCCTCCTGGGTTCAAGCAATTTTCCTGCCTCAGCCTCCTGAGTAGCTGGGATTATAGGTGTGTGCCACTGCCCAGCTATTTTTTGTATTTTTTTAGTAGAGAAGGGATTTCATCGTGTTGGCCAGGCTGGTCTCAAACTCCTGACCTCAGGTGATCCACCCACCTCAGCCTCCCAAAGTGCTGGGATTACAGGAGTGAGCCACTGTGCCTGGCCAGATGTGAAGTTTTGAACAAATTCTACTCTCTGAAGTAACCCCTCTCCATTGTCCTTCCTTCTCACATTTTCTCCAAAGACTAAACTGTTTTCACAGAGCAGTAATAGTTCAATATCCTTCCCGGATCCTTTCAAGCTGCGGATCTCTGAATCACCATGTGGCCTATATGTGTTGCCTATGGCCCTCTGCACCTGCCCCAGCCACCAGGTGCCCCTGAGCTTGCTTCATGCCCACCCCACCTCACAGCACTCACCTGCGGAGGTGAAGGCTATGATGAGTGTGGCAGTGGTGTAGAAAAATCTGAAACACAAAACAGGAAAAGCAGAATGTTGTCAAGGAAGGAGAAACCTGGGAGACAAAACACGATTCTGTCACCCAACCCACAGGTGTAGGACGTGACCACACCCTCGGCCTGGGATGCCCGGGCACTGATGTCTCTGAGCCCCGGGCTCAGAACCAGCTGTGAGAAGCTGCAATGAGATTGAGATGTGGCCCTGACCTCACGGACTGTGCATTTTGCTCATTCTGAGGCCCAAGGCCAGCATGGGGAATCTTGGCCAATTAGTTCAGCTGATGATGTGATTGGCTTGTGATTTAGCCAAGACAAGGTCCTCCCACCTCGAAGCCCCAACAGCCTGACCTCCTGGAGAAAGGGGTTAGTGCCTAGTCTGCAAATCAAGACCTTGAGTTCCGCTCGTCCTCATTGTGAGACCTTGGGCAAGGCGCTGTCCTTCTCTGGGCCTCAGAAGCCTTTTCTTTCTTTTTTTTTTTTTTAATTGCATTTTAGGTTTTGGGGTACATGTGAAGAACATGCAAGATTGTTGCATAGGTACACACATGGCAGCGTGATTTGCTGCCTTCTTCCCCTTCACCTATATCTGGCATTTCTCCCCATGCGATCTCTCCCCACCTCCCCACCCCCCGCTGTCCCTCCCCCTATAGCCTTTTCTATAAAAAGAAATAATTGGGCCAGACACAGTGGCTCATGCCTGTAATCCCAGAACTTTGGGAGGCTGAAGTGGTCAGATCATGAGGTCAGGAGTTCAAGAACAACCTGGTCAACATGGTAAAACCCCATCTCCAGTAAAAATACAAAAATTAGCCGGGCGTGGTGGTGTGCACATAATCCCAGAGGCTGAGGCGAAGAATCGCTTCAACCCAGGAAGCAGAGGTTGCAATGAGCCAAGTTCACACCACTGCATTCCAGACTGAGCGACAGAGCAAGACTCTGTCTTCAAAAAAAAAAAAGAAAGAAAGAAATGACTGATCTAGCTCAGAGTGCTATGATTTCAGGACTACAGTCCCAAAGCTATAAGGATCCCTTAGCATTTGAGGGTCTTGTAAGACATGCAGTAATAAAAGCCACGTTCTAAGGCTGGAGAAGAGGAAGGGGGCAAAGAAGGGGAGGAAAGAGATGGGGGCAGGGAGCCAAAGACCAACAAGGACTGAGATATAGTCATTCTGCATCCAAAGGTTTAAAATGTGGCCGGGCGCGGTGGCTCAAGCCTGTAATCCCAGCACTTTGGGAGGCCGAGGCGGGTGGATCACGAGGTCAAGAGATCGAGACCATCCTGGTCAACATAGTGAAACCCCGTCTCTACTAAAAATACAAAAAATTAGCTGGGCATGGTGGCACGTGCCTGTAATCCCAGCTACTCAGGAGGCTGAGGCAGGAGAATTGCCTGAACCCAGGGGGCGGAGGTTGCGGTGAGCCGAGATCGCGCCATTGCACTCCAGCCTGGGTAACAGGAGCGAAACGCCGTCTCAAAAAAAAAAAAAAAAAATGTAAGGGACGGGCTTTACTCTCTGGCTATTTCTAGACAGGCAGGCCCAGCCAGCCCTCCGTCCCTCTTTCTGACAATTGATCTCACACGTGCCTCCCTGGAAACACCTGCTCTGAGCTGTATCAGCCCCCAGCAGGCCGTTGATTATCACTGAGCCTGGCCACAGAGCAGGAGATTAGGATGCAGCCACACGCTGTGTGGGCGAGATCACGCCCCGAACCTCCTGACTCATCTGCACAGGAAACCTCCACTGTCTGCCCTCCAGTCAGAAGGGACCTGAAATTTCACCAGTGGCAATACCAAGGAAACTTCCTATCAGCTAAGCCCCTGGGGAGGGATGGTGGCGGAGCGGGGAGCGAGGAGAATGAGGATGAAGCCTGAGCAACGTGGATGTGAGGCTGTGCTAAGGATGAGGACGGGGATCCTCCGGGTGAAGGAAGAGAGGAGCAATTTTAAGTTTTGCTAATTTTGTAACCCTGGCTCCAAGCCAGCCCTTACAGGAAATCAGCCTGGCCTTGGCTCAATTCAGCACATGAGAGGGAAGCCACATTCTTACGGAGCAGGGAAAGAGGTGAGGAAATGGAAGCGGGGCTGTGGGAAGTGGGTGAGTCCAGAGTCCCGCTGCCTGGGGCTGTTCCTAACGGCTGCTGGGAGTGAGCCGAAGGTGTGGGGTCTGGCAGGGTGGCGGCGCTGTCTGACCTGGATTTCACTCCAAGCTAGGCTGCTGCCTGAAGAGTCCCCCTTGCCCACCTTTGCCTGGGCTGGGCCTTTGGGACTTACATGGCTATGAGGCGTGCCACGGTGGTCCTGAACCGGTCAAAAACATAGCCGCTGGGGAACGTCATGAAGTTGTTCATGAAGGACGCGATGGTGAAGATGAGTGAGAACCTCTCATCCTGGACTTTGCAATCTGGAGGGGAAAAAAAAGGTCTCCCATGCATCCCAGCCTTCCTGCCAAATAAGCACACAGCCCGGGTTCCCCCCACCTCGGACAGCTTGCCGGTGGCAAAGTCATCCCTTAAGCTGAGCTGAACTGTGACTGCCCCTGATGACCCCTCAGGAGCTGGTGCCTCCCTCCCAGGCACTTCCCAGACCAAGTGAGGAGAGGGCTACTGGCCCTTCCCCTCACCATAGAAAGGCTGGATGGGTGGGCAGGGAGCCAAATCCTACCCACCCCTTGCCACCACCTGGGAGCCAGACCTAACTTCCTTAGAAAAGTGCACTCTGCCCTTACCAGCCTGCTCTGTGGCATTGCCAATCAGCCCAGCATCTGGTTCACACAGCTTTTCAAAGTAATGCTCTTTCTTGAAGACAAACACGAGCGAAGGCCAGCCAAAGAGGACGCCTGCAAAGCACAGGCATTCCAGCAGCCCCGTCAGCAGGGTGGCCAAGCGCAGGGGCAGGCCCAGGCCCGCCATGGCCCGAGGCGGAGTGGATCCTCAAATCCCACTTTATCCTCCTGGAGCGATCACAGGCCCTGTAAGCCCGGCGTTTGAGCACTTGGAAAATTCCTCTGGCAAGCCAAGGCCTCCCCTTCCCGTAGCTCTCTGGTTCTGCTGCAGGCCTGGGTCAAAACCATCAGCGGGTGATTCTCTGGATCCTGTGAAATAAAGATAGAGGCTGCTGGAAGAGGAGGCTTGCGGGAAAGGTAAAGGTGGACTAGAGTTATTTGTGGGGTGCAGTAAGAGACAGGGTGATGGCCACTGGCAGCAAATGTGGGGGAAAACTACTCCAACACATCATTTCAGGCACTGCATCTGGGTAACTATGTGGCGAGTAGAGAGGCAGGTCTTCGTGGCCACCTGGAGTCACAGGTGAGATCAACGGCTTACCCAGTAGCTCCCCCAGCAGCAGATGGAGAAGCAGAGCTCCTGTGCTTCGAATTTTGAATACCGTCCGCTGAAATAACGACAGCAGCTTAACCAGGTGCAGGGGCAGGGAGGCTTTACACCGAACACACAAACTCCCGCTGCCAAGCTGGTGTTATCTTCAGTTTATTGACAAAGAAACAAAAGCTCCCGCGGATTTCAGGAACTTGCCCAAGGTCACAGGGCTGTTTAGTCTCGACGCAGGCCAGGCTACTGCCAGAAAGACCCCAAAACCCAGGACCCTGGCCTAGGACTCCCAAACCTGATCCCCGCCGCCCTTGCTCGCATCAACTTCCACCAGGAAAGCCTCCGGGGGCGGCTCCCCGCCAGCCTCCGCACCCAGCTCCAGCCTGCGGCCGGCCCTCCCCGCAGACGAGCCCGAGGGGCCTTGGCCCCAGAAAAGGTGACCCCTCACCCTACCCGCCTGCTCCGCGCTGGGGCTCTCCGCGCCCTTCCCCTCCGCGCGCGCGATTGCCGCGCTGGCCAAGATTCGCTTTCGCGCCTCTCACCGCCCCTCCCAGTCCCCTGCTGGCCTCCCGCCCCCGCCTGCCCTCCCGGAAGGGGCCGGGGCAAGCCTGCCAGTCTCCATCACTTCCTTCTCCTTTTCCCTTCCTCGCAGCCTCCCGCGTCCTTTTTACCTCTCCTTCTTGGAATTTCTTCTCCCTCTAGAACCCCCTGTAGCCCCAGCGGCGTCTTTCCCCCAACTCGCTGCCTTTCAGCCTCCCCGCCCCCTTGCCTCCGCCTCCCCTAACCAAATTAGTTGAATGCTGTTACTCACTCAGGCCTACCCAGGGAAAATGTCACACACTTCCGGCACCCAGAGGACACACAGATCACATGCGGGCATACAGACACACACACTCTGTCTATTTCATGCATCTTGCCTTGACCGCTGGGTGTGCAGGAAACATAGTTTTCCTATTTGCTCACCAGCTCAACCCTCTCTCCCAGTTTCACACTCCCACAGCTGCCAGAATATCCCAACCACAGAATCAGGGAGCCAAGGAACCAGGACTGAGGGCTTTTCAGAAACCATCCCCTGGAGGAGTGTCTTTTCACTCCCAAGGACCCCTTCCCGCCAGACTGCACTGATTAACTATTCATTCATTGCCCCATTTTTTATTAATCAAAGACATATATAATTGCCCATTGGAGCTTGTGATCAGCGTGAGGTAGCCAGTCTAAGCAGCTGCCTTACTATCCTTCCAGCCCAGGAGCACGTGAGCTGACTGACGTCTTCTTTGGCCTGTGTGTCCCTTTCCTTGCCAAAAGCCCAGTTTGGGGGGGAGTTTATTGCATATTAGATGCAGTCTGCAGACTCCCAATCCCAGCTTTCTGGTTCCCCTGGGGCCCCAGGAACTCCAGCTATTCCAAACCCACTCCTATTTTTTTTTTTTTAAAGAGGAAGAAACAGAAGTTGGTGTAGGGAATGGCCAGAACTGAGTATTTTCCAGATCACCACCAAAGCACAAAAGATAAAGTCTGTGACCCCACCCTAGTGACTTGGCTGAATGGAGGAAGGGGTGGCTGGGGTCCTGTACCCTAAGGTACTCGCTAGTTATACAACCGGAGGCAAGCTTTTCCGCTGCTCCACCTGTAAGACAAGGACAATGGTACCTTAATTATAGGAACTGTCATAAAAGAAGTTTGAGAGGAATGTATGAGGTCCCTGCATGGCACAGGTGCTGCCGGCAGCCTGTAGGGTAGTGGATTTTCTAGTCTGCAGTTATGTAGACAGAGCCAGGGAAGCAGCTTTGGGGACAAATTTCAAAGGAGCTTGCCAAGGTCACTCTGCGAAGCCACAGTACCTTCCCAACTCTGAAACCTATGCTCTCATCACCCCGTCTTAACAGATATTTGGATAGAGAAAACAAGTCTTTTCTCAAAGTAACATTATTTACTGGAGAAAAATCCACTAAAAGAAAGCAGCCCAGGCCGGGCATGGTGGCTCAAGCCTGTAATCCCAGCACTTAGGGAGGCCGAGGCGGGTGGATCACGAGGTCAAGAGATCGAGACCATCCTGATCAACAAGGTGAAACCCCGTCTCTACTAAAAATACAAAAAATTAGCTGGGCATGGTGGCGCGTGCCTGTAATCCCAGCTACTCGGGAGGCTGAGACAGGAGAATTGCCTGAACCCAGGAGGCGGAGGTTGCGGTGAGCCGAGATCGCGCCATTGCACTCCAGCCTGAATAACAAGAGCGAAACTCCATCTAAAAAAATAAATAAATAAAATAAAATAAAATAAAAATAAAAATAAAAATAAAGCCGCCCAGGACAAACAGGTCTTAAGATCCAAGATTTAGTATTTTACCGAAAGACACAAAGGCACTGAAATTCATGCATGCCCCATCTTCTGCTCTGGCGTACATCTTAGTCTCCTGAGGATCCTGGGAGATCAGTAAGTGTGGAAGTAGCAAGGGAGAATAGAAAAAAGTCAAAGCAAAGAGAGAGAGTTTAGAATGTTAATCTGCAGGAGTCTGTCAGAAAGGTCCGGCTCACAGGCTATCTGCACATCCAGGACTGGAGCACGGGACACGGACAGGTCGTCCAGGGCTCTGTCCACCTTATCTTATTACCTCTCTTGGCTTTCAGTCCCTCCACTCCACGCCCCCCCATCAATGTCTGTGGAAGACACGGCCTCTAATAACACAAGTCTTACTGAAACTGTTGGGACAGGAAATTAGAATATCCTCTGAACCGTTCCTGTGTTCTTCGGTTCGAATTCCAGCAGCCAGCAAAGGCAGATGCTGCTCTATCACTCTCATCCCTGGCTCTGATGAGGATTAATGAGTAACATCAGAGAGAGGAGTGATTATAATAAGGTCTGACTGGCACACCCGATGTCCTCATCGCTTTTCTCTTCGCCTCCTTCCATTTCACATCTTTTTTTAAATGGATTCATTGGTTCAACCAATACATGTGGCGCCCCAGGCTCTGTGCCAGGTGCCGGGATTCATAGAGAAGAGATTCAGTGCCCGCCCTCAAGGGGCTCATTCTCTAGTGGGAGAGAGACAAAGAGACCCCAGGAGTGAGGGAATAGTCTACCAGGCAGAGACCAGCACAGCACAGTGAAAGGCATGGAACCTCAACAGCACGAGAACATTTGGGAACCAGATAGAGCACAGATTGGTGATGAAAGTGGCAAGATTTGAGGCCAGCGTCACCATCTAAGTGAGGGCATTAAGATTTCAGCCCACATCAATCAATCATGTCCTGTTGATTTCACCCCTTAATATCGCTCCTATCCATCCTTGGCCACTGCTGTGTACAGACACTCATCATCTCTCTCGAAGGCATCATCTGCATCCAAACCATCTTCATTCTGCTGCAAGAGTTTATTTCCATGGGCCCTGCTGGATGACATCCCTTAGCTGCTCAAAACCCTTCTGAGGTCCAGTTAACTGGCTGGTAAGGACCAGTCCAGGTTCTGGGGATGCCAGCCACCCGACATTGCTTTGAGGGGAAGAGGGAGCACAGAACTGGGTCTCCTGCATCCTACCCAAGGACCAATGCTAGAGGGGGTTTTCCTTCCCATCATCAGCAGGTCTGGATATCCAGGATTCACCCTATGGGTGTTTGTATGGCCAGCGTGGGAAAATGGATATGTTTAGGTTTGGGGAAAAGGGTTTGCCAAACAGGGCAATATAAGTGAGCTGCACCCCATTATTCCCCTGGCACAGGCAATGGTTAGTCCCCTCTAGTCCCCCAGAGTGCCGCCTTCCAATGCAGCCCCCACCTCTCCAAGGAACCCTCTCCTTAAGCCTCCTCTGAACGACCTCAGCGAGGGCAATTGCCAGTCTCTGGGCAGAGTCTAGATATTCTCTCCTTCCCTCTGACATCACTTTCTAAATTTGTAGCTGTAGATAAACTCTGAGCCATTCACATAAAGGGCTTTGATTTCGGCTACACCAAACACATAAGCAAACCAAAACAAACAAACATAAGCTTTCCTTTCACAATGGGCTCATGCAAATTACAATGTTTGGTTTTCCCAGCTACAGTCTTGAAAGGGGTTTGGTTTTCCCACCTACAGTCTTGAAAGTCTCTAGACCCTGCTTTGGAAGCAGCAGAACCAGTGTTTGGTTTTCCCACCTACAGTCTTGAAAGTCTCTAGAGCCTGCTTTGGAAGTCAGAAAGCAAAAGGTAAATGCAAACATCTTCATTTCAACTGAGGGAACGTGCTAACCATCTTGAGGCTGATGCCAGAAATAATACAAGCACATTGATATCCAGCCGATTACTGATATCTCCAAGCTTCTATCCCCTCATCTACAAAATTGGTATCGAGTTGTATGGATTAAAGATAATGTATGAAAACTGGCCAATTAGTACACTATTAATAAATAGCAGCTATTGTTGTTAACAAATATTATGGACTTGCTGGAAAACAAAGAGGAAATAAAGTCACATTTGGGGAGAATTGCAAAGTGCTCCTAACCTTGAAAAGAAATAAATTCGGGAAAAACATCCACTGAGTGATGGGTGAGCTCAGTTTACCTCGCTTAAGAAGCCCCATCTTAGGGAACTGATCTCTAGGTAACCTCAAATGCACTCAGTGCCACCCCCCGAGACTGCCTGGGGTTCGGGCAGGGGCTTGGATTGTGCTGGAAGCTGTGGGAAGTCTGCTCATGAGCCAGAGTAGACAGGAAGGGGATGGAGCCTTAGAGCTGGACTCTTCGGGGTATCTCCTAGTGTGTTCAAAGCAGTTCTCAGGAGGGTGGGGAACTTCTACACAGCCAAGTAAAGATGAGGGCTCCTTGTTCTGGGGAGACCTTTCTCTTTAACAGAGGTGAATCTGAAAGGACTCCCAAGAGGCACTGGAGGGAGGGGGCCACTCTGGCCCCACAAAGCAGCCAGCTCAGCTTTGGTCGATGCCAGAGACAGCAGATGTTGCACCTGGATCAGGCTCCCTTTCACCAGGCAGAAAACAGAGCTCCCTGACCAGACCAGACACATGGAGCGCTGGGCCAGGCCTTAGAGAAAGGGGAGCCCCAGGCCCCACCACCCCAGGCCTGATGAGGCTCCTGCTACCCTTTCCAACCCCCAGCTCCACTCCATGTTCATCAAGCAGCCGTTTACCAGTAACTTGACTTCCCAATAGATTTTGCTAGAAATTTCTCAGTGCACTGACAATATCTAAACCTGCAACTCTAAGGACCAGGCTAGGGAACAAGTGTCAAGGCGAAGGCATGTCCCACCCCTGAGAAGAAAAATGGCAAATAACAGCCGGGCTCGGTGGCTCACACCTATAATCCTAGCACTTTGGGTGTCTGAGGTGGGCGGATCACCTGAGGTCGGGAGTTCGAGACCAGCCTGACCAACATGGAGAAACCCTGTCTTTACTGAAAAATACAAAAAATAAAAAAAATCTGGGCATGGTGGCACATGCCCGTAGTCCCAGCTACTCAGGAAGCTGAGGCAGGAGAATTGCTTGAACCCGGGAGGTGGAGGTTGTGACAAGCAGAGATCGTGCCATTGCACTCCAGCCTGGACAAGAAGA